TTTTCAATCCCTCAGGGCAAAATGGCCTGTTTTTAATTATCTAAGCCTGGGCCAGGAGTCAACCCAGAGAGCCAAAAACTCGCCAGAATTTCCACTCGGCTGGACAATTTTGAGCTCAGGATTAGTTTCTTCAGCCCATCGCCAGTTGATCACCAGTGTAACAACACTGAAATGGGATTTTTTTGATCCTTGGTCGCAAATAAGGTGATGGGTGTTGGGTTGATAGGTTGGGTGAAAACCCCAAAGCAATTCTGAGACACACAGATTGGCCCGTGAACACCAAGATGCTTTCCCGTCTGATGGCAAAGTTGGTGGAAAGAGCTTTGGAAGAGCTCCTGGAATGGGGAGACCAAAAAGCTCAAATTTTCAGCTAAATGTGGGAGTCTGGTTATAAACACATTTATAAACAGCCTGTTAACAAACACATTTATAAACAGCCTGTTAACAAACACATTTATAAACAGCCTGTTAACAAACGAAAAATTATAAACAGTTTATAACCCCCCTGGGAATTAAAAACAAGACCCTAGTGTAGGAAAATACTTTGAGGTCTTGCATGGTAATTAGACATGCTTCTGAGTCTCTGGGGAACCCTCATTTTGACCGAAATAAGTGGATGACATGTGGTTAATTGCCTTATTTGGACGTCACGTGGTTGGTCGGTTCAGCTCGAAGGTCTTATTTTCAAAAACCGGGTCCGGTTCCGCTTTTCACAGATCGGTACCCCCTTGCCTTAAGAGTCTTGTCAATGTAGTGAGGAGATAAAAGGACTTTCCGAGGGTTTTATAGCTCCAGCATGAACGCTGGTGTTCTGCAATCAGAATGTGATGAGCGGCAAGCGCTTTCGTGCTGTTTTGATGGCTCGGCAAATATTTTCCAGCGGCAAGTCCGAAAGGGGCGTGGGAACGATTTGATGGCTCACAATCCTGCGCCTCGCAACGCTTCCTCAAGCTTCCTCACGCTTCGTCAAGCAATCTCAGGTCCAGCAAATGCATTCAAGACTACGATAGACCGACTGCTACCTCTAATTCTACTCATTTACGGCTTTCAACGCCTTATTTATGAGATATTTACGCTTGGGTAAAAGCAAAGCGTCGACATCACGGTGCGCCAAATATTCGTCCATCGCCGCACAGTCGTTGAAGTTGGGCAGCGGCTCCCAGGTGACATCGTCGTCGGTCCAGAGCACCTGAAACTCGATGTGATGGTCCCGCCATCGGTGGCCGTTGATGGAGTGTATTCCCTTCTCTTCCGCATCCTCGCCGGTCGTCCGAGTCAGACTCATCAGAGTCTTGCATCCCGACTTGTGCGTCCGAGTCAGTCTCCTCGTCGGAAGGTGGCACATCGGTCGCATGGGGGCCAGCTTTGGCGTTGGCGTCGGCATCAGACTCGTCGTCAGACGGAGATTCTTGCGCGGAGTCTTCTTCGTCACCACTGTCCCATGCCTCCTCTCCTGTTTGCGCCCCACCTCTCACACCACCCCGGACAGCCCCACGGCTGCATGCATCACGTCTTCGACCACCACGGCCCCCTCCACGCCTTCCACGCCCTCGCGCTCTCGCTGCCGCCCTCGCCGCCTTCGCCGCCTCTTTCTCCGCCGCCTTCGCCGCCTTTGCAGCCTCCTTCTCCGCTGCCTTGATCGCCCTCTCCGCTTCCTTCGCGGCGGCCTTCGCTTCTCTCTCTCCGCCCGTTTTACGGCAGCTTGCTCGACTTTCTCCGCCTCGGCGAGCGCGGGGAACAACTTTTTCAAACCCAAGAGCATTTCCGCCCTTTGTTTCTTTTGAAGCTCCTTCAAAAACTCCGCCTGCATCTCGGGACCCGTCATGAGTCGAGCATGGCCAGTGGTGTACGTCCGCCCTCGCTTTTGCTTCTTCGCCTGTAGTTGCTGACGAAGATGCGCATTTTCCTTGTCCATCAAAACCATTTGGACGTAGTTTCGCTCGCGCTCGACACCCGCAGCCTTTGCGATACTACGGAGCTGAGCGTAATGTGAACTGTATCGAAGTATGGATATACTCAACACTTTCACTGCGTTGTGAGCGAGACGAAGGCGTTGTTTGACCATCATCAAGGTGAGAATGGTGTCCGCCTTCAAAATTGCTCGGCGAAGGGAGATTTTATCGCGTCCGCCCGAAAAGATGCGCACAACGGCGACAGCAGATCTTGAAGAAAACGGTTGGCGCGCCTTCGTAACAAGCAAGTGACAGAGAAAACATACCAGGCCCGATGGTCCAGATGTCGTGAACAAGACAAAATAGGTTCGGAAACTGAGTCTTGCGTGCGAACCACTAGGGTGGAGTAAAAATTGTGCAGCTGAAAAACCTCCATATGCGGGGTGGTGTTACCCTTAATGAGCCATTCCGCCAAGCAAATTTCACGGTGCCAACAGGCTATGAGGACAGATGAGGACGCCCTAGTATGAATAACAGTCAAGCAGAAGTAAAGGGACACGGTTTTGAGAGGTACGACGCGTCGTCCAGGGTGCGTCGCTCGAACCGTATAGTGGAGGTAAGACAAGGACTTGGCATGCCGAGATGATCGCCGGGCCGCTTACACAACCGAGCCCAAATCTTGCATTTCAACTTCTCCATGCAGAACTGATCCCAGAGGATTACACTAACTGGACAAAAGAAATGTCACATGGCATTTTTTATCAAAATCATGCTGATGCACGGGACATACCCATATTTTCGGAAAAGTTTGAGTGTATGAATTATTGCCCTAGAGATTTGGAATTTTGGTGTCAAGTGAGATCAGCCGACATCAATTTGTGAAGGAGCGGCAATCAAATTATGTTGACATGACGTTCGGCAGTCACGTTTCTGCCAAACAACTCCACATTCGACGCGTGTTTGCCCACTCTCTGCCCACATCCACACCACACTCATTCACGCCCCATAGTCCTCATCCTCCAGGCTTCCTCTATGGCCCCCAACATACTGTACTATTACGTTCAATTCGTCACCGCCGCGGGTTTTTTGATACTTTTAGAAATAAAATAAAATCCGACAAATCGAGAAAAAATTATTACCGCCCTCAGAGAAAATGAGCGTGACGCGTGACTGACGAATTGAATGTAATACTACAGTAACTCCTACAAAGAAGGCAAAGATTGTAGTGTGGAAGAGAGAGGGACGCTCGCATGACTGGATCCGCGTGCACCTCACTGGCCGCCACAACATTTCGGATCGTCAGATCATTCGCATATACAAGAGATACAATGAGAAGGAGAACTACTACGATGTAGGACACAAACGAGGGCGACCGCCCAAGATGTCCGAGCGGGAGAAACATTTTGCCGCTCGACAGCTTGCCACGCGCACAGTCGATAATGCCACGCACCTACAGCAGCAGGATTTCTCAGAGCTCAATGTCAAAACTGTCAAACGACACCTCCGTGACGGTGGTCTCGAGGCCCATATCCGCCGCTCCGTCCCATTCATCTCACGGGAAAATATCAAGAAGAGAAAAGCGTGGGCTGAAGAGATGCGGAAATGGACGGTTGCGGATTGGGAGTGCGTGGCATTCTCTGATGAGTCGATTTTTCGTCTTTTTGGGTCTGACGGAGTCCAGTGGTGTTGGAGGAAGCCGAACGAACGACTGGACCCCAGATTCACGAAGAAGAAGGTCAAACATGGAGGGGGGAAGGTTACGGTGTGGGGAATGATCACCCCTTACGGCTTGGGCCGGCTTGTCCGCATCGAGGGGAATTTGAACAAGGAGCTATACCGCAATATCTTGCAGGAGGACTTCCTGGGAAGCATGGAGGACCTCGGGCTCGACGTCAAAGACTTCTATTTCCAGCACGACAACGATCCGAAGCACACGGCAGGCATCGTGACCAGCTGGCTTCGAGAAAATCACATCGATGTTCTACCCTGGGCCCCATCTAGCCCGGATATGAACATCATCGAGCATGTTTGGGACCGCCTCGACCGTATGGTACGCGCGCGCAACCCCCTGCCCCAAAATGTCGAGCAGCTATGGGTCGCTTTGCAGGAGGAGTGGGCGCGGATGGATGAGGAGTATATTGCCCATCTCTACCAATCGATGCCCAGACGCGTCGAGGTATTGCACGAGGCGAAGGGGGGAACACACACTACTAGTTTATTTTATTCAAACTGCTCAATATCTCGCTACACGGACTGTTTTATTCGCTGAATGAATTTCTGCACCTGCCAAATTAGGCACTTTCTGATTTTGGGAGAGAATTACGGGATGTGTAGAAGAGTAATGTAATAGCTGTTCCGCACAGTTAAAGCTAACATGATAAAGTACATTTTTGTCACTCAAGGTTTCACGATAGCATTTGTTTCTCGCGCGCACTGAGGCAATTTCGATCAAAAATGTCATGTGACATTTCTTTTGTCCACTTAGTGTAGTATTCGACTAATCTGCCTACCCATTGCCGCCCGTCGTGGCGTCGACGGCCGCTGTTCCGACGGCCGTCGCACCGCCAAACCGTCCCGTTGCCGTCCAGTTGACAATTTGCTCAAAGCCCCCACGGAACGGGCCGGGTACCCGTCGTACGGGACCCGCAGAACCGGCGCGACGGGTACGGCGTACACCCCGAGGCAGAATAGCCCTGCGTAGCGGGCGTGGTGGAAGGAATCCATGTGCGGAAGGATGGTGGCGAGTCCCGTGCTAATTAGGCTGTGGGTCGAAGTGCGAGGTAGGTGGAGTAGTGGATGGACTCGATGTGTCAGAGTACACCTTCGACATCGATGAAGGAGTTTCTGGGTCCTGGTTGAAGCTCTCCGAAGTGGATACCAGGCAGTAGCTCTCTGAGGCCGCAGCGCGGAGTGGCATGGTCTCGGAACGCAAAGGGAAATAGGGCTGTATATCTGCGGCACCTGGCCATGAGTCACTCGGAGTCAGATTGCTATCAGCGATAGATATAACCACTAATCTCGCCAAGACAATTGTGGAAATACCTTTCGACTCGAGAGTTTGCGGAATCCATATCTGAAGCTAGTAGCAAAAGGTTCATTTGGCGGATGCCCCAGGTGGTCTAGTGGTACGATACTCATCTTTCATTCTGAGTTGACATGGGTGACCGGGGTTCGATTCCTCGTCTGGGACATCTTTTTGACTTGTTTTTGTGCAATTGGCGTCTTCGCTGAATACTGTCATTTAATGATTAGCCTCTGAAAAGCGATTAAGAAGTTGCCTAAAATTTTTCCCCGGATGTATCAGCACCGGGGAATCGCGCGACGCCTGTACCCGATTGAGCGGAAGGAGAAGATCCGATGTTGGTCAAACGGCTCAACAGGGGTGCGTCACATTCTTGAGAAAGTGATACAACCGCTGGGTTAACAACGGAGGTCGCTCGAGTCCAGTCGCCTGGTGCCCCTCCGAGTCAACTTTGATTTCTGGTCTTTCTGGCAGAGCTAATAGCTTACCCAGTGTATTTTCAGTGATCATGTACACTACATACTCGAGGATTCCAGTCATCCACACAAGAGAAAACATGTCGCCAATGGCAAGTTTGAGGGGGCGGGAATGGGAGGCGAGATGAGGGCGGGGACGGGGGATGATATGTGTAATTGATGCACGTTGTCAGGGAAATTCAAGCGAGCCCAGTGTGACCGAAATGTGGGTTGAAATGAGAACGTACTAAGCTCGAAATGGGCTCGAAATGGATGCTCTGAAATTCCCTTTTTGTTCTTGCTCTATCATTTGCGCTGTTCCAATCAAAAAAAGATGATCGAGAGTAGCAGACACAGCCACACGCCGTTAAGTCCACACGTGCTTGCTCCGTACCACCTCGCTCCGCGCTGCAAGCCTCGCTCTCGGCACGACTGCGGGCCACGCCCACGCATCAACGCGTTCTACATCCCTGGCAATCACTGTTCTTTTCGAATGCCCCCCGTTGGTGAGTCTTTTTCTTTCCCCTTGCAATGTGCACTCATCTTTTACTTCAGGTGCATGCCCTCGGCTTGCTCCTCGCGTTGCGGTGTACTCCTGCGTTGTGCAGAGCTACGCCTCGGGCTTTTGGCGATTGATGGTTTTGGGGTTCTGAGGTGTGTCTCCAATCGCTTTCCTTACTTTCCCTTCTCTTCTTCCCTCCTCTTTCGAAATAACAACTTTGTGAAACGTCTTGGGCAACGTGGACCGTCTGCGCACTGCCTGCAGTTGCAGGATTTGGCGGAAAAATCGGGCGCATTTTTCTTTCTTTTTTTTTCCTTCTGTACATGCATTTGTTCACTCTACATCATTCCATCCTTTTTTTCTATCGTACTGGAACTCATTCATCTTCGCCCATGCAGGCATCTACAGTTCACTGATCCCACGACTTCGGCCGCTCGTGCACGTCCGCCACAGCTTCCGGGTTCCCATATCGAACACTCTACATCGAGCACACCCATGCTCACAACTCGCTTGGTTACCCGTCAATGGCGACCGTAAACCATACGCACCGTCATCCACCGCCATGTACCGCGCCAACGTTGCCCCTGCGCTCCTCGCCTCGCTTCCCGCCTTCATCCTCAACATCTGATCTACTACTACAACGCAGTGAGACTACGGATTGCGCGGCGGGAAAGACCAGACGGCGCAACCCCTCTCATCCCCGGGACCTCGAGGCTCCAGCTTCGCGGCTTGCGGGAGAGCAATACGTTCTTAGAGTCTCCCTGCAGCACTCAGCATTCGTGGATACACAACATCGCAGGCTTCATAAGCGTCGAATCGGGTATTATGTAGTGAGTAATGCGGTTTTTTTTCCCTATAAAAATCGAGCCGATCGGATTTTTAATTTGCTAGGAAACAGTGCATCCCGCGCGCAAGCTTAAAGTCCTTGCTTTCCTCGCGGAAGCTGCTGGATCGATGCGCACGTCACAAGTGCGCGAGGCGACGGTGAGAACAGCAGCGCACATGGCAGCTCTCGCTGTCTTTGCGCGCGTTTGCCTCCCGCCCAAGGCTTTCGATGTGTGACTTTTCTTTCTTTTTTCTTCCTCTTTCTTACAGTGCGGCTGGTGACTCATTTTTACCAGGTGCTTTTGTCTTCTCAATACGCGCCGCCGCTCACGGAGATCGCGTCCGTGCCTTTGTGCTACAGCAGGTGCTTCCAGGTGAGTTCTTCAAAGGTTTTTTTCCTTGCATGCATACTTACCGGCGTCCGTCCAGCTTACTATTCCCACCCACAAACCAGACTCCCGCGCAATTACGTCGAGTTATAAGGAAACGATCATGGGTCATCATTGGTACGCGTCCCTTCCCGTTTTCGGGCCACATTCTTTCTCTGCGCACATTTTAGATTTCCTTCTGCCTTTTTCGCCCAATTTCTTTGGGGGTTACATATGGAGTCTTACTCTTTAACCTCTCGTTCCTCCCATGAACGCACCATGCCCCTCGGATCATCCGGATTTTGTCCCCTCCTATCAGTCCTCCTCCACCCTCCGCGCTTGTCTTCCATCACTCCCCAGTTACTGAGCTAAATTTTTCCCGAGCAGAGCCTTCAGCCTCCCAAAGTGAAAATGCTTCGGCCGGACTATCCCGACAGCGATCATATTCACCTGATGCCGAGGCTGATTTTTGCAACATTGAGGACGTCGTAAATAGCGAAAGGGACAGGCACACAATCGAATTCATAACTGTCAGTCACAGGTGCCTTGTGCGTGTATGCGGATTCGATATTCCAACATAATTCTGATGTAGACCATGATTCATGACCTTGCAGCCACTCGGGATTGAACAGTAAGCCCTCACAAACGCGCAGGGAATTCAATTGGTAACGGAAAAGTAAAAGTGCCGTAATTAGGGCAAGGAACAGGCACGCATCCGAAGGAACATTACACCTGTCGTCAGCCATAACTGCCATCCGCGTGTATGTGGTTGGATTTGATATTCCAGTCCAATTCTGATGTAGACAATGATTCAACAGCGGGCCGTGTTCGACTTTTTTGCATTTGCTCGAGTCTCTATATCAGCGAGCAGCGGTAAACATGGGCTTAGAGTCCAAAGATCTGCGGCGGCCCTGACCGTTTGACATCTTCGCTTCCGTGAAGTACCACGACGGCGACCTCGTCCGATCCTCGTACAATCCAGACTTCAGCACCTCGCATGATCCTAAGGAGGTCCCTGAACACGCTTAACGTCGGCCGGGGCTTCGCTCCGCTCCGCTCGTTTCAAAATGATGTTCCTGCTTCTCCTGCCGATAGGAATTATTTGAGGTATAAAGACTTCATCCTCCACGCCGAGAGTCTGTCGAGAACCAGCTGCTCATCCCCATGGCTTCCATCATTCCCCTCGTTTCACTTCTTGCTTTCTCTACCGCTGGTACTCTGGCGCAATCGCTAACCACGACGGTGGTAACATCAACTCCTGCTCCAAGTGAGGTTGTCTTCGTCACCACTGCATGCTCGGCTACTTGTCCTTCGACCGACAACTCTGGCAATGCGCTCATCGGGAGCTCTAGCTGTGGAAATACATGCCTCTTCTGTCGTTGGAACTGGGTAAGCCACCTCTTGCTGTCGTATCTGAAAAGAGCTCATATTTCCTATGACTTAGCCCGGAGGAAATCATTTTGCTCAGTACGACACGGTGCGCATAGTAACCATTGATCAGCCAGAATGTACACTGAGAGGACTCCACAGACTAACGGCGTAGTCACGTCTCCGATCGGTGTAGCCGCGAACCCTTCGCACGCAGCTGTCACTTGCGCTACGAGTACCTCGACGTCAACCATCTACCCAAGTCGTACAACTTCGGTCGCTTTCAGCACACCAACACCAGGGGAAATTATCCTCACTACAACGACCTGCTCATCTATCTGCCCTCCGACGGACAACTCTGGCAATGCGCTTATCGAAACCTTTAGCTGTGGAAGTAACTGTCTTTTTTGTCGCTGGAACTGGGTGCGTCAATATGGTCCAGGCATTTAACGCTCGCGACTGAGGGTTCTGCTTTCTAGCCTGGAGGAAATCACTTCGCTGAATATTATGTTGTCAGTATACATTCTCATATCGGCATTGCTCTATGCTCAGTTGTATACAGGACACCGGCGCAGTTTTCTCCCCCATAGGCGTGGCTGCGAATCCCAGCATCGCTGCGGTTGCATGCGCTACGAGCACCTCGACGTCCATCATATACCCAAGTCGTACAACTGAGATCGCTACCAGTACGCCAACACCAGGAGAAATTGTCCTCACTATGAAGACCTGCTCATCTATCTGCCCTCCGACCGACAACTCTGGCAATGCGCTTATCGAAAGCTCTAATTGCGGAAACAACTGTCTTTTTTGCCGCTGGAACTGGGTGCGTCAATATGGTCTACATAGGTATTTACCACTTGACTGAGTGTTCTGCTTTATAGCCTGGAGGAAATCACTTCGCTGAATATTATGTCGTCAGTGTATATTCTCATATCAGCGTTGTTTTATGCTCAGTTGTATACAGGACACCGGCGCAGTTTTTTCCCCCGTAGGCGTGGCTGCTAATCCCAGTATCGCCGCGGTTGCATGCGCTACGAGTACCTCGACGTCCATCATCTACCCAAGTCGTACAACTGCGATCGTTACCAGCACGCCAACACCAGGAGAAATTGTCAGCACTACAACTATGTGCTCATCTATCTGCCCTCCGACCGACAACTCCGGCAATGCGCTTATCGAAACCTTTAGCTGTGGAAGCAACTGTCTTTTTTGTCGCTGGAACTGGGTACGTCAATATCGTTCAGGCATTTAGCGCAAGTGACTGAGCGTTCTATTTTCCAGCCCGGGGGAAATCATTTCGCTGAATATTATGTCGTCAGTAAACATTTTCGTATCAGCGTTGCTCTATGCTCAGTTGTATACAGGACACCGGCGCAGTTTTCTCCCCCGTAGGCGTGGCGGCTAATCCTGACATCGCCGCGGTTACATGCACGACCGCCGCCGCCACTTCCTTCCTGCCATCGTCCTCCACCGCCACCACCCCGACTGCTTCCATCGCCAGCGGGTGGCACACCGCCATCCCATGCGCGACTGACACTCCTTCCCGTATCATCACCAACGCGTACATCACAAACTCCAATACCAACACTCCCTTATCTTGCACTCAGCAGTGCTTCTCTCTGGGCTTCACCTACGCAGGCGTTGAGTATG